TGTGTAAACCAATTAAAAGTTTAAGCCCAAAACTTTAGGCTTAGATAAATCTGAAAGTATTTATGTTCAGAATGACTGAATAAAAATGGTGTTTACAAATTTGCTATTCCTTGTAGTTTCTCTCTTATTTCGAATCAAGAAAAAACGCATACAGAGCAATGAAAGATGATGGTGATAAATGGAAAGAAATTATTTAGAGTCTTGTTGAGCTTTCTTTAACCGAGCCTCGGTGTTTCTTCTTGCGCCTTGTAGAATGGTTTTGTCCGCGGTTATGAAGAATGCAGCGATGGATGCTGTTACGATAATCACCATTTCACAAGATTGAAACTTTTGCGGGTCAGGAATCAGAAGAAAATAACACAATGTTACAAGTTTAATCTGTAATTCCTAGGCTTCTTTAACAATGTTCATTCATGTTTCAAGCTTGTATATCTTCTACTTAGTTCCACGAAAAACACAAGAGTAACGATCTGAGGTAAAAGAGTTAGACAGAGCTAACCTGCAGATACAATGAGTGCCTGAGCAGTGTAGTTGAGGTTTGCTTTCGCCCACGGGAACACACGAACCGCAGCTACCTGTTAGGAAATACGATTCGAGCTCAGGTCACATATGTAGTACAAACATTAGAAAGAATGTGCACGGTACTTGAGTCTAAATCACCATTGCTTCACAAGATATGACAAATATTGTGATTGGGAAACTTTTAATCCATTGCATTTACCCAATGCAGAACATAAGATTATTATTGGGTCTCTTTTTCATAAAAATCAACAACAATTAAACAGACCAATCATATCAAGACTAATAAAAGATCTCAATTTCGAACACACCCACCAAATTAAGGAATAATTGTTCAATGATGGGATAAGGTTTTTGACAAATCTGAGAGATGATGTGACAGTGAACAACGATCTAACGAGTGGAGATGGAAAAAAGAAGTTTACTGTGGGAATCGCACTGGCGACGGCAGCGACGGCGGCTGCTTTGGCTCCGGCAATAGCTCCGGCTACACAATCATTAAAAAAAAAAAAAAAATCCAAAATGATTAGAATTTTCAGAGGAAAAAGGGAGGCGGAGAAAGAGGGAATAAGAAGAAAACCTTTTTGTGAAGTTTCCGCTCGCCTGATTTTATCAATCTCGTCCGGAGAAGCGACGACGAAGACGTTCTGCTGTCTCCGGTTACCCATTTCCGACCGGTTTTCCATCAGATGTCGCGTTTGACGTTTCAATTTTCAGGAGAGAGAAAACGAGAGACGGGTCGCGATCGATTTGCTTTTGCTTTGCTCATTAAGTGAAATTTATAGAGGTTACAATGAAACAGCGCCGTTTTAATGAAATGACACTATTTTCTAATGGTACGGAATAGTGATTTTTTTTTTTTTTTCCGTCACGAAATAGTGAAAAAAAATGGTAACACGGTTAAATACGGTATTATATTGTATCGTAGCTTTGGCAGTACAACGTTATCAATCATAGCTAATAGTTTAGCCGCATTTTGTATCGATAAATTTTAGTTTGCTTTTTTTTTGTTGTTTAAATAAATTTCATTGACTTTTAAGGACATTCTAACAAATATTTGAAACTAAATTATAATTATCATTAAA